GCACATTGCAGCAGGGAGCAACCAAACATTTAATACGTATCAAATTTGTGCTTGGAAGTTGCCATTACTTGACTCTGGCCCGCTAAACCCGCTCATACGACCCATCCTAGTACCCATCAGTCAGCAGAGTTCTTTGGAGGCACAGAGTATTACCATGGCTTTGCGCATAAGCTTTTCTCTGATCCTTTCTCGTCGATCTTCTTTGCTCTCAAAAATTGTACGCAAGACTACAAAGGACGTCGTTGAAGTTACGCTTTTCTTGCTGACATCAGATCTCGGCATATCCTATGTTCCGCACCGTCCCGTCCTTGCATCGGAAGTTCCTCCGCCACTCAGCGAACAGGAAGCCCTGGATATAAAACAGCTTCTCTATACCGAAAAATGACATTCCGAGAAGACTGAACACTGGGATTGGGAATTGAAGCAATATCCTGCTGCTGGGCCAGCACGACTTCCCCGGAATCCATCGAGTCAAGCCAACCGCGGTCACGTGTCTGAGTTTACGTCCTTTCATCCCAAGCCTTGACAACCCCCAAACGACTTTCATCATCCCAAGCCTTACTTGACTTCTCTTGTCTGCCCGTAAGCATCTTACCTCAATGCGCTAGTGGTGACAGGGTACGAACAGCTTCTCTATGTCAGCCAAGCACCTTGGCACGATCTCGTGGATGCTAGTTTCCCTCTAGCCCTCTTACAGTAGCTACGGTTCTTCTATACTGAAGACATACGTTTATTTTACTTTCTAAGACTACTAATTATTATTCCTCTTATCTCTAATTATAGACAGAATAGTTCAGGGACTGTTCTAAACCACATCCAGTGCCAACTAAGGATCGACTTCAATTTCTTCTCGCATCCAACTCTGCTCTTCCATTACATTGCACCCTCGTGTCATCTTTACATCTCAGCCCGAGCGATGTTGCCGTATACGTCTATTTGGTATTGCCAGGACTTTACAAGGCCCCCGAACGCGATGAACGACTCTTCTTCCCATACCCGGCGCATACCCGGGTAATACCAAAAGCCTTATCGATAGGCGCTTACACTGCGCAACCCAACAAAAGCAGCACCATGCTGCGAGAAGCACAACACCAACATACCGTACCGATACGCAGATCAACGGGGGCCGAAATACACCCCGCAAGGGTCACGCAGGGCCAAAAACTACAGCAGGGAAGAGCGGCCATAGAAAAAAGCGGGGGTACGGCCCGCTAGTGTGGTATCGACTAGGCCCCCTCCTCCCCCCTCCCCTCACATCATACCCACATGCTCGTCTTGCAACGTGCATTGACGAGAAACATGGGCCACTAGGTGCCTGGTCAAACGTGAAGAGACTGTTGGGAAGGGAGAGGAGGGTATCCCGTGTTCGTTTCGAAGAGCAGGAAAAAAAGCAGGTTGATGGGTATGCGACTGGCAAAGAAGGGTCTTGCTACAGAGCGGTGAGGTGATCCAGCCTGAGCGCGCGCCATGTGTAGAAACGACTGGTCCCAAGAAAATCATTTCTTCACGACGTTGCTTTGGTTCACGTGGGTGACACGGGGACCGTTGTCGAGATCACGTTCTAGCGATCGACACTTCTTACTGCTTGCATCCTTGCAATTTTTGTTTTACAGGTTTGTGGTGCTACGCGCACGCGAAAGTCAAACACCAAGACGTCAGCGTTTTGAGACGTCATTTTGCGATCGCCCACTACTTGGATGACCTTGGTGCTCGTCATTATGGGCTTGTTGTCTGGATCGCATTATGTAGTGGTGAGTCATAGGTGCTTGGTCGCGACTAGAGGTGAGAGAGTGCGATGGAAGGGAAGCAGGGCCCAGCGTTCAACGCGCTGTTTATGCGAGTCCCGCGATCCTTTTCTTTTCCAGGGAAATTACGTTGGGTAACGAGTCTGGAAAGTTATCCAGTAATTAAGGTTTGTTGGCGACGCTGTGTCCATCCCCACTCGGTGGATTACAGTCTAGTCTGCCCATTTGCGTTTATCGAGGGTAATATTGTACGCATCACGAAGCGGTCACCCGTCAAACATGTTGTCTCTGTTGTCATATTCAAGTCTGGGTCACAGATGTCATTATTCCCGAAGGCTCATCTTGGAAATGTTGTCGCCCTTATGCCGGCATATGACCTGAAACGCGGGTTGTTCGCACTTCCATTACGCTGTTGCCATGGGCGGTGTCGGAGCCACGAAATGTTGAATGTCAACAACACATGCATGGGTTCTAGATGCGGGCATTGATGTGCACCGGTGGGCTTGGAGTAGCGGTGGCATGTTGGCTTACAGTTGTCTGTTGGCGGTGCTCGGCACCGCGTCACGGATTGAAGAGGCTGGAAAAAAAGTGGGGAAAGGCACCGCCACACCCGGCACCAAAACATCCGTCGCAAGACCTTGGCTTCGAAACGAACATTGCAAAACACATCCAGAAATAGATACTTTTTTCTGCCAGTTTCAGCAGCCCTTGTTGAAATGAAAGGGGGGGGGGGGGGAAGATCAAAGACGGTTGAGAGGGGTCAAGCAAGGCTGCCATAGAAGAGCTCGAAGCAGCTCAAAGTTGTCATGGACCACGTCGCATCGCTCGGCACAAACGGCCAATCAGACGCGTGGTTTGTGGCTTTGTCGTCATGCGCCACCCTTGAGTGACGTCGGTTTCCTGAAACCAAGCGCACCCTGGTCATGGCACCCATCATCGCTGCGCCTGGCGGTTCAAGAGGCATAAAAGCACAGGGAAGAGCTGCTCTTGCGTTCGCATCACTCCTGCCAATCTCTCCTCATCGTGGTAGACAAATTCCCAACACCATCTACAGCCCCCAGACTCGATCCCTCAAAACACCCCCTACTATTTGATATATCGCCAATATGGTTGCTCCGGCTATTCTCATGGGCATTCGTGGTGTCCAGGTGCTGTTCAGCATCATTGTGCTTGGCTTGAGCGCATATCGTAAGTAAAAAAAATCGACCTAAGTGTTTCTGAAAGCCCTTGTGCTGATGATGAGTTTTTTTAGTTGTTGATGCATACATCACTTGGGTACCAGGAAGCGTTGCGTTTATGCTCTTCACCTCCATCTGGACCCTTCTCGTTGTCGCCTATCTGATCCTTGCGCCGACCCGCTTCCCTGCAGCTGCGCACAAGTATGCTGTCGCGGGAGTCGAGTTCATCACCATGATCTTCTGGTTCGCCGCTTTCGTCGCTGTGGCTACGCGCTGGGGCGGTGAGTGGTGGGTTGGCCATGGCACCTTCTGGAGCTGTGGTGTTGCTGCTATTATTTTCGGAGCATTCCTCTGGTATGTCAAACCTAACATGTCTTTGTGTGTTGTGACAGCTTTTCTGACAGGACTAGGTTGACATTTGTCGCTACCACTGTTCTTGCGGCGCTACATGTTCGTGGCTCAGCAAGCAGCGACCCCGCCCCACCCATGACCAACGTCTAAACAACGACCTACTATTGTTACACTTCGACCTATACCCACGGCTAGCTTGTAGCCACCCAGGAAATGATACCCCAAACTATCTCTTTGACTTGTTCTCGTCCCGTCTCTAGGGGATGCGGGACTCGGCGTTTGTATTTGGTGTGTACGATATGTTGTTACGACGCCTTGTTGGCATGTTATGGATTTCCGTAGCCACACGCTTAATGAAACTATTTTCTGCAAGTACTCTTTCTGCTGACATGTATCTTGGTCATGGTGATGTTGTCAGCGGCGCCGGAAAGGGTTTTGCCATTGCGTAATTGTTAGTCATTGCCTGACACGGCGTCTGCTACTGTTTGTAGTAATAGCTGGTTGTGTGAACAAAGCGTAATAGTAGCGCGCAATTGTGGCATCATGCCCAGAATTTGGATGGGCTTGTGGTCGGCCTCGTGTTGGCCACGTGATGATCCTCCGGGTTACCGCTGTCCGCACTCCGGAGGGAATGTGGCCGGGTCTCCCACACACACTCACCCCGACCAGCTTGCGAGCCAGGTTCTTTTTGTATTACTTGGCCAACGTCTCACGGTCTTGTAGGATTCCACAAAACGACTATAACTTTATTAAGGCGACCAACGTGCCAACTTGCGTCTTAATTGACCTGCATAGGTGGTGGGCATGGCGATCCACATTAATCCCTTCGCTTGCGCAGTCGGAGCAAATGGCACGACTGCCCTCCCCAGCTGCCGATGGTGGCACGGGAGCATTGATTGAGCCACGGGCTTGGTTTGGGTCGGGAGGGATTGACACGAATGAGTGCGCTTGTCGTACATGGTTACTTGGGCAGTACAGGCGCCCACTGGCCTGGCATGCGCTTTATCGGTCTTGCCGTATACGAGCCGCAACGGATGTCAGGCGCTGTCAGATTCTCATATCCCTAGCTTGGCCTCACTTGTACTATTGTTTATTCCCAGTTGGCGCTACCAAACCACGTGCAAGTGTGGAGACCAGCCATGGCCACAGCAATATCATGTAAAACTCCGATTCTGCATTGTATAGTAGGTAGATATTGGCAAAGCCGACTGCAATATGTACAATTCCGGCACCCACCCCGAGCCGGCGGGAGGCCAGGCACGCTAGAGGGCAGACACGCTAGAGGGCAGACACGAGGGAAGCGGCAGGGAACGCCACTGCAACTCGATAGTGCAACCACCGACGACCTGGATGACTGACAATGGACAGGTTAAACACACGGTTGCGGCAGCGGGTGTGTTCCAAACAGGCGACAGTTCGGCCTTCTTTCACCAGCGTTCGGTCCAGCAGCGCCCGGCCATTGGCCCTTGACCTCCAATTTAACCGGTGCCAAGCTATGCAAGCCCATTGCGCCGAGACGCTTCTCCAATACAAGGTGGCGCTTCGGCAATACGGTCACCCTCTCCGTCTTAGCATACCCTTGCCCCGGACCATCTGGGGTAACCAGCCGGGGTAGTGGAGAGTGTTTGCAGCAGCAGCCTGTATAAAGCATATCAACCCCCACTGGCCTCCATTCCTGGTACCCCCCCATTCCTTCACTTCGCTGCCACCAAAGACCATCGTCATCATGGTGGGCGTTCAGAAACTCGCGGAGGGCACTGCTGCCGAGCCCATCATCACCCGCATGTTGGAGCAGGACAAGGTACGATGGTGGAAAAAAAGAAACCTCCGCCTCATGTATGTCTGGCTCTTCTGCTGCTGCATGGGCGTTGAGATTACATCTGGTTTCGACTCTCAACTCATTGGCACCCTCCAATTCTCCGTCCCCTTCAACAAGTGTACGTGCTCCATGTGCTTTGTGCCCCCGGCCCCTTGCTAACAAAGATAGACTTTGGAGACGGCTACCTCGACAAGGATGGAGAGCACTCCATCAACCCCAAAATCATCGGTTTCATGTCTGCTTGCTACCAGCTCGGTTCCATTCTCGCCGTCCCTATTGCCCCATGGCTGAACCAGCGCTATGGTAGACGTATGGCCGTCTTCGTCGGTTCCGTCATCATGGTTGTTGGCGCTATCCTGCAAGGATTTGCCCAGCATAGTAAGTCTCATTCGATGCCCATCATCAAATTGTAGTTCTCACAATCAACAGTCGCCATGTACATCATTGCACGTATGCTGCTCGGATTCGGAATTCTCTTTGCCATCATTGCCGGATCGGCCTTGATTGGAGAGCTTGCCCACCCCAAGGAACGTCCATTCATGACCTCTCTCTTCAACGCCTCATACTTTATCGGTTCCATCACCGCCGCTGCCATTTCAATCAAGACAACCACCATTGGTGGAAACTGGGGATGGCGACTTCCTTCGCTTCTCCAGATCTGCCCTTCGATTCTGCAGATTTGCACCGTTTGGTAAGATACCACTCCATTTCAACCCGACACTCGCTGACATGGCTAGGCTGCTCCCTGAGAGCCCACGTTATCTGATTTCCCGTGACCGTGACGACGAGGCCTATGCTATTTTGGTCAAATACCACGCTGAAGACGACGCCAACTCGCTCCTCGTCCAAGCTGAAATGGCCCAGATTCGATCCACCATCAAGCTCGAAATGGAGAACTCCAAGCAATCCTGGATGGACATGGTCCGAACTCCCGGTATGCGCCGCCGTGTCATCATCGCCGTCTTCTTGGGTCTCTTCACCCAGATGAGCGGCAACACTCTGCTCTCTTACTACCAAAAGCTGCTCTTCAACCTGATGGGTTTTACCGATAACAACACAAAGACGCGCATCAACATGGCCAACCAGTGCTGGAGTTTGTTGAACGCTGTCATCATCGCTCTCGTCGTCACCCGATTCCCCCGTCGTAAGATGTTTATGCTTTCCGCTGGATCCATGGTCATGGTCTTCATGGCCATTACCATTACTCTGCACTCGCTTCAGACAGCCGACAAAGCCGGAACCACCAACTCACCGGCCCAGATCGCATCTCTGTTCTTCTACTTTGCCTACTCTCCTTGTTACAACATCGGAAACAACTCGCTCACATACACATACCTTGTCGAGCTGTTCCCTTATGCGCAACGTACCATGGGTATCGGTATCGAACAGATTTTCGGAAAGTTGGCTGGTTTCTTCTCCATCTACGTCAATCCCATTGCCCTTACCGCCATTGAGTGGAAGTACTTTGCCATCTACTGCGCATGGATCTCCTTTGAATTCTCGTTCATCTACTTCATGTACCCCGAGACGTACAACCGCACGCTCGAAGAATTGGCTTTCTGTAAGTTGATTTCCATCATTTCTCGCCAATATCATTTGCTGACTGTTTTCTCCCAGTGTTCGAGGACGATCTTGCCGACGAGGCTACCAGGGCAACCGAGAAGTCGGTTAACCAGGTTCAAGACAGCACAATTGTTGACCACGGCAAGACTGGAGCTACTACGATCGAACGTGCTGCTTAGAGATGTTTTCTTGGTGAACAAGTCATTCTTTTCGGCCGTTTTTTTAGATGCGTAGTTTACATCCATATATAATTCAGAGCAGGTCATGATTTATGATATCGAAAGAGGCCACGGCTACATTACCGCTCTTGCATCAAATGATATATGATTTTACCATCAAACATGAATTTACGCTATGTATTGACTGTGCTATTCTTGCTCAACATGTAAATGGTCGAATTTTTGCTTCATTACTATGACTAAATGCTACTTCATCTTTCGCGGTCAACCGATTACTCATCTTCACCAATGCAAGGTTGCCAAAACCGCTTTTACCATTTTCCAACCTTACCAAACTCATCAAGCGCAGTTTCCACACACGTGATGGCGTGCACATACCCTTGTCTTTCCATTCCCGCATTGCAGACTATCGTGAAACCAGTTTGTTGATAATACCATGTTAGGTTTAGCGCAGCAGTGTGCAATGTAACTTGCCGCACTTTGGCCCCTCGGCCTCAGGTTCAAGACATGCATTGTGTGTTAGACATTATGAGGCTACGACATGGTGGATTTGTACTGTTAAGGAATGGGATATAAGACAAGGGCATGTTCACGATGAGGATGTTTTTGAATAATGCAAAAATGTAGATTTGTATTTAATACTCACGTTTCTTTTTGGATAATTCTTCTTTTCTAACTTGTCAATCAGAGAGTACCTTCGCCTACAGCTCATTTACCTACAGCTCATTCACCTACAGCCACCAGGAACATCCTCACCATGAATCGAAACACTACCCCGAGTCCTGCATCTACCGTTGTGTCACTGACAGACTCTCGAGATAGCGTAACACGCCGTCGTGACAATATGGCCGCCTCTACACAGACTGCCCAGATAGACTTTCTGAAAAGGCAGCTGCAATCGTTGACACGGGCCAAGACTCAGACTAGCAAGAAGTGCGATGATTTGTTCCGGGATATTTCTGCTTGGTCTGAAAAGTTCGAAAAGGAAAAGACTAGACGGACGCAAAGCGAGGAAAAGCTGTCGAAAGAACGCCGTGCATTCATTGGGCTCAAGAAGGAAATGCAGGAGCTCAAGGAAAAGACTGATAAGGAAGTGAGGGAGGTCAAGTCTCATCTCGAAAATGAGAGGAAGAAGTGGATGGGACAGGGGCTGTCTACTAATAGGAAGCCCAAGGGTGCCGTTCAAGCCAATACCTCCAATCTCCAAAGCCGCATCAAGTATCTGGAAGAAGAAAACGCTCGACTGGAAATGCTAACCAAACACCACGATTGCGAGAAGATTTACGACGACGCCCAACAGCAAATCGATGATGCTATGACCCTCCTGCGAGCTGCGGAAGCCGAGGCCGAGGAGCTGCGCTATCTTGAGAGTGCTAATGAAGAGCTTACGGAGCAACACTACTTTGACACACAAAAAATTGAAGAACTCTTTGATGAGCTGGAGTGTTGCAGGGCCACGGTGGAGAAACTCGAAGAAGAGATTGCTGCTGCTGATGAGCAGCGGGGCTTGGAATCACCTGTATCTTCCAATTCTGATATCTCTGATGTCTCAGATATTTCACCCGGTGCGTCACCAACGCCCACCGAACCTTTGGATGAAACCTCAGAAACTGATTACCTTAGACAGTCTCTCCACGACGCAGAAACTGAAAACGAAAACCTCATCCGCGCATTCGCCAAGCTCTCCCACGAGCACTGCGATACAATGGCCGAACTAGACAGGTTTTCTGAACACGTCACCTTCCTGACTAACGCAAACCTCGACCTCGAGGCGCGAAACGACGTTCTAGAATCCCAACTCGAGACCGCTATCCAGCTTCTCCGCGCCACAACCGAGGAGACCGGGCAGGACCCTCCAGCCCACCACCGCACCCACACTACCTTCTCAGACCCAGACTTCGTCGATGACCTGCCCACACCCGATCGCGATTCCCCCATCCCCATCACCATTCGACTATACGAGAAACGCGACTGGCCCCTTCTGTACCATGTCCAGCGCACCTTGTTCGGTACTCTTCCCTTGCAAGTCGACGGTCCCTTGCATCTCGTGCGCGAGTTCGTGGCTACGATGAAAATTTCAGAACATGAATTTCAGGAGATGAAGGAGCGGGTGGAGAAGTTGGAGGGGGCGTTTGCGGTGGGGGTTCAGGAGGTGGAAAAGTTGAAGAAAGGTAGGTAGGAGGTTTGGTTGGGGGTTCTGGAGGGTGAGAGTTGGATTCATGTGATTAGATGGTTTCTTTTATGCTATTTCGTTTTCATTGATAGAGTTATTAGATTGGGTTCGGAATTGGAATTCCTATCAATGCAACTTTTAACACGGCTTTTTTCTAGTGGTTCTTGCAAATGGTGAAAGCGATGCCCACGTGATGTCCGAAATACCTGGATCGGTCTAGCCTTTTGCAGGACCTCTGTGACTATTGAGGAGGGGTGGTAGCGTCCTTCTTTGGGTTTAAGTACCTGCGTTCATGATTACGTTGCCTTATACGATGCTTCAGCTGACTAGTCGAGGGTTACGCATGTCATTGGTAGAGCGAGGCCCGTGCACAGCCGTACGTCTCCGGTTGTGGTAGCGGGCAAGGGCTATGTGAGGTATTTTTACCTAAAGGTAGCAACAAGTTCTAGGTTGAATGCTGTACGCTAATCTATGTGTGTGGCTGGTTTCAGCCACACTAGTCGTATCCGTTGGTTTACGTAGAAGTGTTATAATAAAAATAGGTGCGACTATTTCACAGTACATGTTCAATACCTTGCTTTCCACACCTCGCATACGACGGCAACTAACATTATCCTAAACCATGACTTCAGAAACCGACGAAACCTCTAAAATCGACTCTGGCAAATTCTACAACGAATACAAAGGCCACCCCATCAGCGACTTGACCAAATTCCGCGACATAACACTGGCCGAGCGCCCCGACAAACCCATCATCTACCTCGCCGGCGACTCCTCCCTCGACAACAAATTCTGGCTCAAAGAACGCATTTCCGCGGGCGACGACGCCTCTGCTATCCCCTCCATCTACCACTCGACCCTCGCCTCCCCCATCACCCTCATCCCAGACGTAGCCTACTGGCTCAACTCCGCCCTCTCCACCCGCGCCACATGCATCAACACGGCCATCGAAGAATCCCTCTTACGCTCGCGCGATAGCGATCTCCTCCCACACGACGCCTTCATCCGCTCCAACATCCGGCCCAATGACATCCTCGTCGTAAGCGTCGGCTCCAACGACATCGCTCTAAACCCGACTGTGGAAACCAGCGCGCACATGTTTCAACTTGCGTGGCTTACCCCGCGCAAATCCATCGAAGACGGGTCCGCATGGGGTCTGCCGTATTTCCGCAATATGTTCGGAACGAAGATCCAGGAGTACATCGCCCGCCTTACGGAAGAGACGAAGCCAAGGGCTGTGATTGTTTGTATGATTTATTTTCCGCTGGAGAGTGGGAAAGGGCAGCAGGGCTGGGCGGATGGCAAGCTAAAGGTTCTGGGGTATGAGAGAGATCCGGGGCAGTTGCAGGCGGCGATTAGGGAGATGTATAGGAGTGCGACGGAGGAGATTAAGGTCGAGGGGGTCGAGGTGCTGCCGTGTGCGTTGTTTGAGGTGCTGGATGGCAAGGATGCGGCGGATTATGTGGAGAGGGTTGAGCCGAGTACGGAGGGGGGGAGGAAGATGGCGGAGGAGTTTGTGAGGGTTTTGGGGGGGGTGTTGGAGGAGGGGGTGGGGAAGGAGGGTGAGTAGGGTGTGTGTACTAAGGTAGTAAGTTGATGTCTCTCTCTCTCACCGCGGAGGAAGGTATTTTTACTAAATTAGAAGATAAAAGGCGTCTTGAAATGGTACCACACATGTATCCATGTGGCGCAGTTTTACCTGGGACACCACTATCCAATTACTTAGCGCCGTTGTGTAACACCCTCTGTAGGATTGGGAGCGCTTACGATCAGCCTTGCGGAGATACATAAATACAACTACCGTTATCAGCAGCGGCATGACAAGTGTTGTTCTGATTTATATCTCAAATTCTGAGAACCGAGCCCTTGACAAATCCCTAATCCCATCATTTCTATCACTACATAGATACAACATACGCTATGGCAAAGCTGGAGCTCAAAGGTCCATTAAGCAAGGCTGAAAAGCCCAAATTCTCACAGTATGCCGTTTCTATTTGCCTGTCGCGTCGCTCATACGCTTATCTTACATAGTTTCCTCACCTCTCCCCTCGTAACTGTCACTGTTGCTAGGTCGAGAACATTCTACCTCCATTTCGACCTTCTCGTTGCCGAATCGGACATGTTTTCCAACAGCCTGACTGGCGGGTTCAAGGAAGCAGAGGAGAAAGCCATTGAATTGGAGGATGAAGATCCCGAGATTTTTGGATTCTTTGTCGAATACCTTTACCGCAACCAATCAATTCTTTCCCGCGACGTCGCACATTATTCCGAATATGTGACCCTGGCGCGCCTCTATGCCATGGGAGAACGCCTAATGGCGCCGAAATTCCAGGCCTACACGTTGTGGAGGTTCGCCCAGCCACTAGACACCCGCACAACTATCTCAGATGAAAGCATCTGTGAGCTGCTCCGGATTGCGTGTGAGGAAATTATGGAGAGGGTCGGTGAAGATCCTCTAAGATCCCACATATTCTGGTATGCAGGGAACCAAATCGCAGGGCTTCAGAAGTCGGGCATGTTTCGTCGGCTGTTATGCGACACTCCGGATCTGGGCAGGCACATCTGCTTATGGCTGGGCCAAAGTCAACCCAAAAAACCAGACATGCCGAACGAACTCAGACACCAGAAGTTTGAACCAGAGAGCGAGTACCCCCTACAACAATACTCTAAGACTGCACCAAAGGATGAATAGTTTGGAGCTAGAGCGGGCTGAAATTGACTTGTAGGAAGGGAAGTAAAGCACAATGTAGTTTGTCTCTTTACGAAAGTTGGAGTTGGGAATATACTTTTCAGTTTGGATAACTCCATGTCCACGAAAACGATGCAG